GCTAACAGAGTCTCATGCTGGGTAGTATGGGCATTCTAAAGCTAGCAAGGAGCAGGCGCTTTTACCTGTTCCAACTTCTGTGGTCCAAGCATTGACTGAACCCATCTGTGTAGGAAGCAGCTTAATCATAGAGCCCTGGTTTTGAGACACGCTGTCATTTAGATTAATCTTCACCAGCATGTCTGAAAGACGGTGGGCTGCAATGAAGTCATCCGCTTTGTCCCTGAGAAGGTGATGCGTGGCATATAATTAAGACCACATACAAATGACATAAAATATAGAACATATAGAACAATATTGTGCTTGTCCACAAGTAAAGATACAGAATTGCAGTTGTATGCCTCCACCAACCAGTGCAGTCCATCTACATAAATTTGTTTTCCATATTTGTATAATGTCACTGTGACTTTTAAAGACTGACAAGTTTATCTTCTGAGTCCAAGTGACAACTAATCAAAATTTCGGTCTTGAGATATCACATTCAAGAAGCCAAAATCATGTCTAGCAAGGCCACTGTGACCTTGCCCTTTGATCACCAAATTGTAATCAGATAATCCATGAGTCCAAGTGAACGGGTGCTAAATTTGAAAGGATTCCCTTGAGGTGTTCCGGAGACACTCCAATGGAATTCATCTCTGCTAATTGCACTCAACTGTAAAAGTGATCAGTGAAATAATCGAACTACAAGGGTTGATTTAAAAAAAGATATATAAACACACAGTTAGATAATTGTAATGTAAAACAAGCTTTTGATTTTCACCAGTTTAAATACAGCAAATAGAATTCAACCCAAACCCTAATTACAAGGCTACAGAAAAATAAGCAATTATTAAACAATTCTAGGAAGGAAGGAAATTCTAGGATGAGATATAGCTCATACAAGACTTCAGACAACACTGCAAAGCAAAATCTTCTGTGTGATCTATATATACTCACAAGTCATCCTTAAAGCTGAGGGCAAACTTGAGCTGTTCTCCAACTGATGTCTGTGAGCTGGCCTGCTTCAACTCATTGTCATCCAGATATGACTCACAATGATCTTCTCTGTAAAAACAAAAAGCAAAAACAGTGCAACGAGTTCACAAAACAGATGCTTTTTAAACATACCAAAGAGTTCTACATTATTTTCAGTGCTCAGACAGCTGAATGCTAACTCAGTGTCCACTATCACACTAAATGGCTGGTGTGATACAAAAAACAAGTCACATCTGTCCAAAACAGCAGCCAGCTCCCACCTGTTGTCTGAACTGGGTCTGATTTTGGCCATTGTGGAGGCAGCCACTGGCAGTCCTGGACCTGAGCCCAGTGTCACATTCCCTAGTGTGGGACGGCCACTGGAGTTGTCCATAGACTCACAGAGGAAGCTGGGGAGGACTTCATCTTCCAGTTTGTAATAATTGTCTGCCATGATGTTTGAAATGGGCAGGCTGACAGCCAAGTGTGGCTTGTCTTGAGTTTAGGCGAAGCTCATCTGAAATGTCTAGGAAAGAAAATTAGACGACAAGGCAGGGTATTGTTAGTTGAAAACTTAAAAAAAAAACTTAACTTCACTGTACACATGCATGGACAGAAAAATACAAGTAGTGTTATTTAGAAATTAACAGTTCTTCGACAAAAACTTAAAAAGGTCCAGTGTGTAAGATTTTGGTGAAAGAGATCAATGAAATTTTTTTTTTCGCGGTAAACCTAATGTTTTACCTGGGCTTATTTTTCACATTGAGAGAGAGAGACACAGAGAGAGACACAGAGAGAGACACAGAGAGAGACACAGAGAGAGACACAGAGAGAGAGACAGATGAGCCGTGAACTGAATACTGTTTTGACCGGCTCTTGCGGGGTAAAGTGCTTTTGCGAGTGTTTGAGCTACAAGAAGAAATTCGTAGCTAGAAGTTAAACTTCACCCATTTTGTTACACTTTTTTGGCCAGGGGGGGGACCACTGATCTAAACCAACAACTTGTCTATTAGATTCTGTCCCAACTAGACTTTTTAAGGAAGTTTTCCCCCTAATTGACAGTTCCATATTAAATCAGATTAACATGTGTTTGGTAACCAGCTACGTACCACAAGCTTTTAAGCTAGCTGTTATTAAACCTCTGCTTAAAAAGGCCACTCTTGATCCAGAGGTTTTTCGCTCATTATAGACCCATATCAAACCTGCCCTTTCCAAAGTCCTAGAGAAAGCTGTTGCTAAACAACTGTGTGATTACTTAGATGGTAACGGTTTGTTGGAAAACTTTCAGTCAGGATTAAGAATCCATCACAGCACAGAAACAGCTCTATTAAAAGTCACTAATGACCTTTTCATGGCATCAGATGATGGACTTTAGTCTCTATACTCATCCTGTTGGATCTTAGTGCAGCATTTGACACTATAGATCATAAGATTCTGCTACAGAGACTAGAACAATGTAGGGGATTAAAGGAATGGCACTAGGCTGGTTTAAATCATATTTCAATTTGTTAACGTTAACAACGACCCCTCCATGCACATGCAAGTTAGTCATGGAGTTCCACAAGGTTCTGCCCTTGAACCGATACTCTTCACCTTATATATGCTCCTCTTAGACAACATCATCAGAAAGCACCACATACACTTCCATTGTTATGTAGACGACACCCAGCTGTACATATCTATGAAGCATGATGAATCTAATCACTTAGTTCAACTTCAGGAATGTCTCAAGAACATCAAGGCCTGGACAACCAAAAACATCTTACTCCTAATTCAGACAAAACCGAGGTCATTGTAATTGGCCTTAAACATTTCAGAGAATCACTGTCTGACCAGATAGTTACCTTGGATGGTGTCAGTTTGGCCTCCAGCTCCACTGTGAGGAACCTTGGAGTTATGTTTGACCAGGACATGTCATTTGACCCACATATAAAACTCTAGGACAGCTTTCTTCCACCTGCGCAATATTGTAAAAATTAACAATCAAGCCCCTTCATTATCAAAGAGCTCATAACACCGTATTATCCAAATAGATCACTTCGTTCCCAAAACACAGGCTCTCTTGTGAGTCTGTAAGAGTAGAACAGGAGGTAGAGCATTCAGCTACCAGGCTCCTCTCCTGTGGAACCAGCTGCCACTCAGGAGGGTTCAGGAGGCAGGCACCATCTCTGCATTTAAAGTTAAACTTAAAACATTCCTTTTTGATAAAGCCTATAGTTAGTTCTGGGTCAGGTGAGTCCTGAACCATCCCTTAGTTATACTGCTATAGGTCTAGACTGCTGGGGGAACTCCCATCATGCACTGAGGACTTCTCCACTTCTCTCTGTCTCTCTGCGCCCCTACACTGAATTATTTATTTTAAAACATGTCAATTGTTTCTTTTTTCTCCCGTAGTCCCTGTCTCCTTTTCTCTCTCTCATTGCAGATATCTCTGACTCCAGAACTATTATTATTAACAACAACACTTATTAGTAATTAATTACTATATGAATTGCTGCTCAATAATAACTTCTTTAACCGGCCCGTCATGCAGTGCGCCCACTCGCAAAGCAGCTGCTGATGTGTTTTTTCCACAGTCGAATATTAATTTTCACAAAAAAATATTCGAATTTAGAATATTCGTTGACAGCCCTATAGTTGACTCATATGCGGGATCCTAGAATAGACAGAGCCATTGTTATTTTACTTTAAAAAATAGCTGGGTAAAGAGAAAAACACTAAACAACATGCTGGACTTCACATAAAACTACGTAAAATAAAATAACCAAAGAATAGAAAAGAGGTGAGGGTGTGTGTGTGTGTGCATCTCACAGTCTTAACATCCAGAGTTCTATCCTTACATACAAAAACTGTTTCAGTCTCCCCCACAAGCCCAACAGAATTCAGTCCAATGCAGTTCAAACAATGAAAAACACATGCAACAAACCCAATCAGACGAAACCAAACCTGTTCAAACACTGTTCAACACTCTGGTTTATTAGCCGACAGGTATATGTGTGATGTACTTAACACTGTTTAATATTTACCTATCTTTGAAAACTCTTTTCATCATTCAAAAAAGAATTCCTTAAAATTAAAAAAATAATGTAACTATCAGTTGTCTATGAATTTAATAATCCTGCCGTTTTGGATGATTAAAATACATACAGTTAGAGGGAGGGAAGGAAAATGAGAGAGGGATAAGGCTGACAGACCCATGCACACACTCCGTCAATGAGAAGGCAGGCTCTGTGATCTCTAGAACGCTGGAAAATGATTTATTGTCATCAAATACTGGGCTGGTGGAGAGGAGCACTCACTCCGGGAGACTGCATCAGGGCTTTGTGCACTGCGGCTCGGACTGTGGAGCTCATATGAGGCGCCTGGCTCTCTATCACTAACTCACTGGGCTGGTGGAGAGAGTGCCTCTACTCGGGCTGGAGGCACTCTGACTTGGCCAGTGGAGCTTTTGCGTGGGGCGCACGGTCCATGAGGCTCTACCTAGTACTCGATAAAGTGAGCTTGCACATTGTTAAATAAACAATTACGATTATCATAGATGATAAATATCGTACACCCCTAGTAGGAGGGCAGAATATGTGGCAGATTCATGTATGCACGTTTCCACATAGAGTGTGATTTATAAAGGGAACAGTGCCCAAGTGTGCAGTATGCACAAGGTTTTGTAAATCTGATTTTTTTACTTAGCGTACACCATTTTCAGCTTTAGTGCGCACATACACTCTCAGTATAAATACTACGCACTGTTCTCTCTTTGCTTATCACAAATTGTGGACGTCTGGACTGCAGTTTTAGTTCGAGAATCGTGTGTGTATATGGGTGCCTGTGTGTATATGGGTGCCTGTGTGTGTGTGTGTGTGTGTG